TGTGGTGGAGCCAGACCAGCACAGACAGGAATTATACACTCCCAAAGAGGAGAGGGCTATGACTTGCAAAAATGGAGGTGGCTGTGCTAGGGAAAATACTTTCTGGAGTGTCATTTCCCTAGCAAGTTCAGAGGCACATAGCAAGTCAATAAACCAAGTTCTTGGAAAGGAAAGGACTACCAGGAAGCTTTGACATTTTAATTGCAATTGATGTTTCTGTGCTTTTACCTGCAATTTGCTAAGTCGTTAACAGGGTCTCTTCAAACATAGGTAATGATAGAAGATTACATGACCAAGCAAAAAATACACGATCGTAAAAAACCTCAGAGATTCATTCCCAAAATTGAGGGAGTAAAGGATCCTTTTATTTTCCAAAAACAAACACAATTTATGTAACTGGCTTTTATCCAGTTTGTCAATAAATCAGCCCCACAAAGATCAAACTGTGTTCCTAAACTTTTAGTATGAACACTAGTTTCTGCGCCTGCCCTTCATTTACATTATGAGTTGTTGAGAGATAGGGTGGGGGATGCTAGAAAAGGTCAAAGGACTTTCTAATAAAATGTGAACAGATCAATCGTCTCAACCAAGCTTGCTTCCCATGGAGGGTCTGAATTTGTGTAACTTGCTGCATTGACATCAATTGAGTACTGATTGGATGACAAGATAGAGAGCACCTGACAGAGGGGGTTCAGATGCAAGGCCATGGGTGAGGAAGGTGGCGCCACCAAGGACAGGGTAAGTGTTACATAATTTATCCATTAGTTAACATTCTAACAGGATGTTAATAAATTATTCATCAGTTAATTGTTATTTTTTAATTTCAAACTGGTTCTCTACAGCCACGTGTACTGTGTATAACATATTTACCTTTACTCTGATCCAATGCATAGAGTTCCCTCAAACCAAGATCATTGAGAGACTTTGTGATGTCAAGGGATTTATGCGACTGGTAATCATGCAACAGGACTGTAGTCTGAGGATCAAATTCACATTTACTGCAAATAGAGGGAATGAGATCTTGTAATGGAACAAAAGGACTGACTCTCATCACTGTCTTCTGTGTTCTCCTATAATTGATGACAACTCGAACAGTTTGCTGGAAAAGAAAATATTTACTTCAGATGCATTTGGAAAAACAATCTTAGACAACACAACTACATTAAAACAAATTATAGGTGTAGGGAGGGAAAGGGATTCAAACTCTACCCACCTTGAAATGGCCCACCATGCCTGTGTCCTATAAGCAGGCAGATCAACAACCAGCCTGACATTGCCTCTATAGTCCTGGTGCGGATGTGATTTGACAAAGACAGAGCGGGCAGTGTGGGACAAGGAGTTCCTTCCCCCACCGACGCCAAAGGTAAAGGGAGTTTTTCTCCCACTTACGCCAGAGGTAAGGGTGTCCTGCTCCCACCGAGACTGTGGTAAAGGGGCATCCTTCTCCCACCAGTGCCAAGGTAAGAGGCATCATGCTACCACTGACCTCAAAGTAAGAGATTTTCTGCTTCCACCAATGCAAAGGTAAGGGGCATCTTACTCCCTCCACCAGGGTAAGGGTCTGAGGCTGCAGGCACTGTGGAGTAGTCATTGTTTCTGTTACCTCTCATCTATTCCAGCTCTTCAGTCTTAGAAAACCTCTTCTGCATTCAACACTTCCAGAAGTTCCAGGTCCCTTTGTCACACACTGGCTCCTTTTTTCAACCCGCCAAGTCTCTGCAGTACTCCGCAGTGACGCATTAGGTAAGAGTAAGGAACCAGTGTACGGCGGGAGACACAGGCTACCAACATATTCCTAAAAGTGTTGAATGCCAAAAAGGTTGTTCTTGCTTCTAGCGGTTGACCAAGGGGGCCACAAAAACCTATTTTCTTCCACATGAAATCTACTGCGCACATATAAGTAAGCCACATGATAGAAATGTGAGACTCTATTTTCTATCATGAGATGATGACACCATAAATAAACATAAAAATGTAAAATAAATATTTTAAGACAGGAAACAAACTCACCTCTGGCATCATCGGGCCAGGCTTTTTATGTCTGTCCTCCAGATTTTTAGATTTCAGGACAACTTTTTCTACTTCCAGCATTCCAATAGGTGTGTTTGGCTTAAACTTAAGCAGGCTTTTATCTGCTGAAAACAGTTCTATTGTGTAGGTGGATGGGTTCAAATGGTATTGTCCACAAAGGAATACAAGCAAGTCCATCATGGGTTTGCTGTAAAAAGAAAAAAAACACAGGTCACTGTTAATGAAAACCAAATCAGCCTTTTCCTTCATCGAGCATTACTTATCACCACAGGTCAAGCAACCCCAGCAGGATAAAAAAGGAAAAAGCCACACTCCTTGGATTTACAGTACATTACATTTATTGGTATCTTTACATCTTTTTCACATGCATGATCCCTGTCCTGGAGCCAGCTGCCTCGAACACGTTTTACCAGTTTGGGCTTAATCTCTATCACGTACCTGACTGGAGACTCAGCTGAGAAGGGGGCTGCCTGTGCACCTCTCGTCCCACACCTCTGGAAGTAGTGACAGGGGATGTAAGGACAGAGTGGAGCACAGGTGCCGGTACTGGTGGCTGGCCGGTTCTTGAGGAGACACTTGAGTGCGTTGGTCCAGCTGCTGAATCGGCAGGACCAGAATGATACTGGGACCTTTTGAAGCCAGAGCAGGCAACGGGTGTGAGACCAACGGAGCACTGGCTGGATGTAGTTGCTCAGGGTACTGATAGCGCAATCCACCAACCGGCAGACAAGGAGGGGAGTCAGCTTCCAGCCAAGGTCATACACAGGGAGCCGAGTCTCAGATCAGGGTCAGGAAACGCAAGCCAGGGTCATATGCAGGTGATCAGAAAGCAGAGGTACCGAATCAGGAGGAGAAAGCGGAGTCAAATGGTCACAAGCCGGGTTCATACACAGGAAATCAGAATACTGGAACTGAGTACAGGGCACACAGGGACTGAGTACAGGGCACACAGGGACTAGCTGAAGACCACTCAGCAACTTGGTCATGGCTTCTTGTCCGTTTATATAGAATAGTGTGCAGGCTAATCAGCGTGCACCTGTATGCTAACGAGCATGCCTCCGTACGCTCACATGCGTGTGCTACTGCGCATCAACGTTCCCATGTGCGTGCGTCCACATACTAAAGCGCGTTTTCCAGGAACTTTCAGCAATGGATTGCATGCTTGTGTGCAAGTTTTTTGGGCAGGAGTTAATCTGCAGGTAAGTCTCTTACAATCTCTACGATTAGGTCCAAACGGGTGAAACGCATTAGGAGGCAGCTGGCTCTAGGACGGGGGTGAAGTGGCTTGTTCCTATTTTTTTATGTGAAGTTGCAGAACAAACTAGCTCAGAGCCCACACCCTTGATGCTTCCAAGAAGTGGAACTAGTGTGGGAAATGGAGTGGTGATATTTCCATTTGAAAACCCGTACCGGACAGCGTCACCCTCCCTAAAAGAGAACATGTGTTATGCCTAAGCAGCAAAGAAGCAAGTTAATTTTAGCATCAACCCCAAACCACACAATCTGTCACGTACCTGATGAAGCTTGAGATGACGAGGGCGGCCCCTCTCTTGCAACTCTGGTCCCAGAAAGCCTGGTAGAGAAGACAGGTAGTCTGGGGCACAGCGGGGCACGAGTGCCTGGATGAGGACTTCGGTACCAGAGGGTAACTCGTACGGTCTCTTGCCGTGAGGGATAATATAAACGCACAGCAGGGAGGCAGACAGAGAGTAAACGAAGTCAGGCAGACCGGATCAGCAACGTGCGGGCAGAGAGGTTGTATGGCATAAGGCAATCTCGTGGTCGGGTCACAGGCCGGGTTTGGTAACAAGCGGGCAATGCAGGAACAGGCAGGGAGCAGGAGAATCGTCTAGACAAGCCAGGATCAGGATACCAGAAGGTCAGCGGAGTCAGGAGCAAGCCGGAGTCAAAACCAACAACTAATAAACCAAGGAACAGACACAGGATACTAGGCACAAGCTGAAAGAGTACTCAGCACTGGAGACATGGAGGAGCTGAGTTTAAATAGCCCGTTTGGCGCCACAACACGTCGCAGATGCGCGCACGTGACGTGCTGCGCGCACGCGCCGTGCTGCGCGCACGCACGGACGTCTACGCGAAAGTGCACGGCCCGACACTGCGGGTCACGCCGTGCTCGCGCGCATGCGCAGACGCCATCTGCTGTGTGCAGTGTTCCTGACACAATCACCTTCCCTTCATTCCCGTGCTGCTCTGATCAGCTACTACATTACATGAGCTTACATGGGACTGAGGGCTATCTAACCGGGCCCCACAAATCACACAGCTGCCTACCTGCCATTCACGGTGGTGGATGTGACCCTGTCACCTGGAAGAACTACATTGAGCTCGATGTCTCTGTCGATGATATTCTCCTTCTGATCCATGTTATACTGGTTGGTGTCCGCAGAATCAAACGATGGCAGACTGTCAGAGCACCTCGTGTCCCCAGGAGGAAGAGGAGCCTTGCCTTTGGATTTTTTCCTGAAGATGAAAAGACAAATAAACAGTTTGTATAAAATTCCCCCAACAAATTTACAGCTGGCAGGTCTGTTCTATGCAAGTGTGAAGATTACTTCTCTAAGGAAAAGTCTGCCATTCCGATACACACATACTGTATATATTATACAAATTAGCGAGGCCACACATAGACCAATAGTAGCCAGCAGGTTTAGCGCTGATCAGTAGATCAGACCACATAATAATAATAATAATATCTCTTTAAAAATGCCACAAGTACGAAAAAAATTCCTGCTGATCCTGCCAGAAATCTGCTCTACTTTTACTACCTGTATTGCACTGACAATAATGCATCTGTTACACTAAAATTGTTGTGTTATCAACCTTGCCTAAGGTCTCCTCTACTGGACTACAGAACTCCTTTCTATTTTGTTAAGGACACAGGCAGAGGGGGGAGTGTTCTGTAGATCAGCAAAAGAGGAAAGGAATAGGAAGTAGGGGACATCTCAGTGGTAATACAAGCAATAAAAACCTGACTTTATATTATACAAAACTAAAAAAAAAAAAAGTATGTCTGGGATTTACACTATAACTGTGGGTGGCACCATCAGTCTGATTTGCTGTCACAGCCATTGCTCTTCAGTTTGGCTGCCCTAAGCATGCACCTCCCTCTTAGAAATGTGATTGCTGGTGGCATGGTAACATTCAACATTTTTTTTTTTTTTTTTTTTTTTTTTTTTTTTTTTTTTTTTTTTTTTTTTTTTTTTTTTAATTACACCAGTTTACAACTGACAAGGCAGCTGATGCTTGGGATACATGACTAATATTTAATCACAAGATTTAACCATATTTGTCAGACATAAAAACACAGTGCAGCCATTTTCAACTGAAGTCTCATCTGACCTCATGCTTATTTTAGTAATATTGCTGGTATAGGACTTTCGGCGTGAGCAGAAGGACAGAAAAAAAACCCTTTGCGCCAATCTACCCCTGCTGCGAGCGCTATAAAGTATACAACTAAATGAATACTGTGCCGCGCTATCAAATAAAAAACGTGTACACGTGAAAAGCCTCCACCACAACCACCCTTTTGGAGTGCGGCTCACCTGGTGTTGAGACCTTAAAAACCACATAAAAACAGCGTATAAAACCCAAGTGCAATGATCCACGATCCTCTCCCCAGAGTCCTGGCTTGCTCGGTACACTCTCAAAACTCCACCCTACGCGTGTCACGTCCACATGTGGCTTCAACAGGGGTGTGGAGGCCGCAGGTATGTGATTTGGATTGTTACCGGGACTCCTGTCTCCTGGTACAGGGGAGCTCAGAAAGGGGGGAGAAGCAGCACACTGAACCACTCAAGTGTGCTGCAGTGCAAGGAGCATGCCGATAGATGTACAGAGCAGAGTCACAGACACATGAGCTCATCGGTGACTTGCTTCTCCTTCACTGTCCAGCCACAGGTCCCCTACCAGCGTAGGTGAAGATCAGGTCCCCTTCTCTGCCAGACAGAACTGTTGTGTGGCAGGGATTCTAAATCTCAGGACTGAATAGAGAGAATGCAGTTATTTTGGAAGGTAAAACAGCTCTCATATATGAGTCAATAGCTGTTTGCCTGGAGTTTGGCTTTAAATGACCTTTACAGTAAGAAATCCCTTCCTAAACTGAAAAATGTTCCACCTTCCATACTCAAATGATGGCCCTTCCCCATTGTACAGTCCAAAGAGGCTTAAACAGGACTGCATTTCTTCGCTCCTAACAGCCACCGAAGAGATAGCGTGTGGCTGCCAACAAACAAGAACATGTACATACATTCCTCCCCTCTTCTGCAGTTTCGTTCAATGATTTATCTGCTAATCTGCCATTTCAACATTCAAGGTGAAAGATTCGAAGGAGAAGAATACACACTTGCTTGCAGAAGAACGGTCAGTCTTATCCAGAACAACAATCACATTTCTTGCAGCGTTTGAAAACTTTCTGCTTTCTGCTGATTTGGCTTTCTAAAGCCAAATGTCCAGCTTTAGTTTTTTTCAGCAGAGAACCAATCACTGCCTTTAAAGCCACAGCTGAGCGTTTATGATATCTCCTTTATCAAAATGTCAGCCTGTTTATTAAGAACTGGCTGCAATTCACTGTGTACACACAGCTTTAGATGTGCCACCCAGGACAACCAGATTCTTTTTTTTATTGAAGCTCCGCAGTGCATGGATTGTTAGAAAAACCCCACGTGAACTATGAAATCACAGCACACAAAAAACTGCACAAGGGTGCATGGTACTCTTCGGGGAAAAAGAGCCATGGTATCCCTGAACCCCCCCCGCCCAGGGCGCAAGGCTCCTGACAGGGGCAAAGCACTTTAGTCCACCTGGCCGAAGGCAGGCAGACTCGTCCTATGGGACCAGCTAAAGCAGGCCCACCAAGTACTAGGTAGGGGCTCTCCTGAGGAGGGACCCAAGTGCGAGGAGGGAAAAAGACCCGTTAGGGCCACAGACTTGCCCCCCAAACATCAGGGCAGGCTGCCGAAAGACTTGCACCCTCCATCGTCTGTGGTGTGGAAAGTGCTTGTGCATGAAAATAAGTAAATAGTACCAAGTGCAATCACATGGCAGGCCTTGAGGCCAGTATAAAAATTGCTTCAAGCTAGCCATAAGGCCTGCCTAAGAAGGGTAAAGCTAGAAAAGCATTACAGTGATGTGAACTTTTGCCTGTGCCATACAGTGGGGTCCCAAACCCAATTAATTTCTCTGATATGCTCCCCCCAGGAGCTCCTTGTGCTTCTGCCCCCTAGCCAGAGGCAGCCCATTCCCTACTAGAAGGCATTAGCATCAGGGGGTTCCTGCCTACACCCGGGGACAAGCCAGGTCAGAATTGACAAAATAATGACACCTGTTCTTCCCTAGAAACTGATAAGAACATAAACTACAATTGATCTTAGCCAAAAGGCAGAGAAGCAGGTGAGCCCTCATCTCTAACTACTCCTCCTGCTCACTGACATACGCAGAATGCAGTGACCCATAACTGTCACAGGAAGGGCAGATGTATTTTAGAGGTCCGGGATGTGACCGCCAGCCTGGCTTCGCTTGGTAAATTGGCAACACCCACTGGGGGAACAACTTCATCTTAGGTGACCAAAGCAGAGTTTTTGTGCACCGATTATACACAGACTAGTTGCTTTTTCATTGAAGTTTGTATTTGGCAGATTTTTTTGTAAACATTGGCAAAAGAATGGTTTGACTTAAAAAAAATGGTAAAAATGAAAAATTCTATAAAAGCAGGATTTAAAACATATGGCGGTCTGGCAGGCTGGCTGCCCAGATGTTTAGGCTGCTCCCGTTGTACATTATGAAGTAACTGAAAATGAAAACATGTTCCGTTTTGCTCAAATCCCAATTGCTTAAAGACTGCAGAATGTAAACAGAGCATCGTTGTGTCCGGGCCTCAGAGAGTCAAAGTCGTAGTGTTGTACAAACTCTGGATTATACTGAAAGAAAGGGCTTCAGTGTGCAAATTCCCTCTGTTCTAAGGGTTTCCCTTGTGTGTTGGTTTTGATTTATACTGTCCTACTAAGCATGCTGTGTGTGAACAGCTCATTAAACCAGCACAAATCACCATTAATTCTTACTACAAGCCTTGTATGAAAGGGCGAAAAGCTACAAAACTATTCATACACTACATGATTCCCATTAACTGGTTCTTCTAATAGAGAATCTAATGAGATTCATTGATAAATATGGAAACGTTTCAGTAGCAAAGATTCAGAATAAATGAGGTATAGTGTACCTATGGAGGGGGCCTTTTCTCATTCATAGCGGTCCATTATTTTAGGCATTCTATATATACTCATTATCTCAGTTAACAGGCTTATCAACATAATTAGCGTTTGTTCACATGAGAAGCAACAGAGGTTTTAAATTCTGAGGAGAAACAAAGACTCTAGCATGCAGAAATGGATGCTGAAGCTGCAGCTTTTCAAATTACCACAGAGGCCATGTGATTTGTGAAGCAGCCCTCCCACTTAGTGATCAGTTTTAGAAAGTAATTCCAAGTCCTACATCCATATAAAGAGAAGAAAAATTAGGGTTCTGTAATATAGCATATTTTAGATAGATATTTTACATATATATTCTCGGTTTTGTTATCTGTGGTTTGCTGTGAACCATTATCAGTTTAAAGAAGAACTCTGGGCAAACTATACTTTCCAGAGCTATGTGCTCATTCCCACCGGCTGCTAGGCCAGTCCCCACAGACTCTTCTCCCCTTTGCTCGGGCAGTTTAAGGACCACTGACACCATCACATCCTATGCAGGTCCTCTGACCTGCATTAGATGCGAGGACGCCAAAGGCAATTCCGGTGGGGGTGGGGGGGGTTGTTAGTGCTGACCTACGCATAGGGATGTACCTAACCATTTTACCGCCCGAGGAGGAAAGAGGGTGTTTTGGGGTTCTGGTGGTGGCTGCTACCCGAGGAGGGGGGGGCCTTGTTGCGGCGCACTGGCCAGTGTCCCGCTCAACTCCTGGCAATAACAGGCCCAGGCTGCTAAGAGCTAAGGCAGGGTAATGTGTAGACACATCTTACACATCTCCCCGCTCTTAGCAGCCGGGGATGCTTTGGCCAGAAAGGGGGCGGCAGGCAAACTGAAAAGATTGTGCAGCAGAGCAGCCATGCCGCTCTACCTGCCGCCACCCACTCCCGCGTGACCCAAAGAGATGCCGCCTGAACCAACTGCCTCAATATAGGGATGTCACTACCTTCACGGGAGCGGAGATCAAATTAGTAAGTAAGCCAGATTTATCTGAGTCCCCTAAACAAAATGAACCTTTAAGTTTTTGGTTTTTTTTGCTTGGAGTTCCTCTTTAAATAAAGCTGAGAAATTAAGCACATTCCAACACCCAGGTGCTTGGAGCAAAAGCATTCCTTATTCTTAGTTCCTGTCTGAAGTTACAGTGCAGAAGCAGACAAGTTAATTGTAAACAGGGCAATGTTTACACTGGATTGGGTGTGGGTTGGCAGATGTCAAAGCATGGG